GCTAATGTTGGGCTATAAAGGAACTACAGCACGGTCACATGACTTCACGTCACCACCGCTAAGCTAAAGGAGAGCTAAAGTTGTGCTATAAAGGAACTACAGCACGGTCACATGACTTCACGTCACCACCGCTAAGCTAAAGGGCTAATGTTGGGCTATAAAGGAACTAAAGCAGGGTCACATGACTTCACGTCACCACCGCTAAGCTAAAGGCAGCTAATGTTGGGCTATAAAGGAACTACAGCACGGTCACATGACTTCACGTCAACACCGCTAAGCTAAAGGCAGCTAATGTTGGGCTATAAAGGAACTACAGCACGGTCACATGACTTCACGTCACCACCGCTAAGCTAAAGGAGGCTAATGTTGGGCTATAAAGGAACTACAGCACGGTCACATGACTTCACGTCACCACCGCTAAGCTAAAGTTGTGCTATAAAGGAACTACATCACGGTCACATGACTTCACGTCACCACCGCTAAGCTAAAGGTGGCTAATGTTCAGCGTGATGAAATTTAGTCATCGCAATTAATCGCTTGTTATCGACCGCCATTTTTAAGACACATTTAAGCTTCAAAGGTCACAAGTGGGGTATTTATCTTAACATCTCTCTACCTTGTGTCAACCACAGACCTTTTTTCAAGCATTAAATCAAACCACACTCCAAAAATGGTTGACCTTGAGACCAGGGGACTGTAAATGGTAAATGGCTGACTCATTACTTGGTGATATTAATGATTTGAATCTAAATACTTCCACAGCAGTACATTGCTTGGCTTCCTTCCATCACTTCTGTTTCTCTTTCCACAAACGGCATGTACGACACACTGACAGTGGAAAGTTACCTCATATTACAACACTTCAAAACATCCAAATTATCCCTTTAAATATGTCCGAATGTCACTCCAATGTCATTAGGATCATTTCCACACATCCTGTTAATGATAGTGGCCGGATACAAGAAGTGTTCTCTGCTGGCTCAAGACTGGCAAATCATTTACAGGCACTCACTTGAAGAAAGGCTTTGACTGATGTTCCACATAGAAGTCCGCCGCTTGCCTCCTGTAATGCAAGAACACCATAAACCTTGGAGTTAATAAATGGCCACATTATCTGAGGTATTCTGAGTAGACACTTTGTGCTGACAAAGACATTTACAGAGGTCAACAATATTTTAATCCTTTCTTTCCAAAACTTTTTGGTTTCCTTTTCGCAGCCAGAAGGTTTAACAGAAGACATCTTCAAATACTGACCCTCACACCTGTTTTGACAATTATACATTCCAACAAACAAAACGATCAAATCAACTTGTATTCCAGTATTATCGAGATATCTCTATTATCCGAAGAAGTGTCCTTTTACTTTAACTGTGATTAATTGGATCATAAATAATAATAATAATAATAAAAAACTAGAGAAAGATATAAATTAATAGATCAAATGAAAAAAATTGTTTTTAGCATTTATGTTCTCAACTTTGAAATTGTTTGGGGGAAAAAACTAATCACAGGAATGTACTGAAATAAAATAACATTTCACCCAAAAACTCAACATTGGGAGAAATGTCCTTCAGTTAAAAGTTTAACTTTAACATTTTAGTTTACTTAGACCCTGTATTTTTCCGGCAGTATTTTATTACTTGGCGGCAGTAGCGATCCTAGAGTCGGTGGTGGCGGCCCTAGGCAAACATTCACTGGGGGCCCCTCGAACCAGCTTTTCATCACCACGCACAGCCGACAGCCCCCCCCCCCTGGAGCGGAGCAAGGCAACAAAACTTAAGATGAGAAGCTGCATTTTACGGCGCGCTATGCATGGGGCCGCCTTGAGAGGGTTTCCCGACATGTTGTTGCAGTAAATGAAAGGGTGTTTCATGTTGTCGTTGCTGTGGACCTTCTTAATCTACCTTCTTTGGGGGCACCCTTCTGGTCCGGGGCCCCAAGTAGTGGCCCGCATTGCCTGTTCGCAAGGAGTGCCCCTGCTTGGCGGTGAGGAGAAGGTCAGACTAATCAGTAATAAAAATAAGTAACCCTACTTTATTGGTGTGTAACTAATAAGTCCCATGGATGTTTCTAAAAAAAAGAGATATAATCTTATGAAGAAGTGCCAATTATGGAGAAAACTGCTTTAACTAAGAATGTAGTTAGCCTTGCACAGGAAGGATTCAATCTATCTTATGCTTGTCAAATTCTTTAACATATATATGTAGAAATACTATACCAGACGAAAGTCCAGCAATCATAATGTTATAAATCTGCTCTAAACTGTTTCCTGTGGTCATGACTTAAGCAAGTAAAACAAAAGACAGTATAATCATTTTTGATTTCCTTTAAAAGCAAAACAATCATCTGTGAAAAAAGGGGGGAAAGCGTTTTACAATTAATACAAATATGAAGTAATGCTACATAAGTTGCTAACACAGAAAGAAAAAACCTAATGGGAAGAAGACATGACTCGTTAGGACCTTGTAGAGTAGTGGTGCACTTCAGCCTCTTGTGTCCGAAAGAGGTATTGAAATGACAAAAAAAAAAAAAGACAAATATGTCACAGTTGAAAAAGAAAAATGTAGAAAGATTATCGTGGTGAAATATTTTTCTTTCACCTTTTCTTAAATAATAAACACAGGAGAAAAACCTAGTCAAATCAGACTTCAAGAATGCTCACTTGTATCTCAGGATTTCCAAATTAAAAGTATACCTGATAATCAAATGTCAAAGTAGAAATTGCACATTGTACTCATTATCTAAGACTGAGATTGTTGTGAAATTATATTTTCCCCATTATTGAGCAGCTGATAAAGCGGTGATTAAACGGCACCCTCGTCCTCTCCTTGAACGCCATATGTTCCTAATGTGATGCCATCCATCTGTTTGTGTGTGTGTGTGTGTGTGTGTGTGTGCGTGTGTGCGTGCGTGCGTGCGTGTGTGCGCGTGTATGTGTGTGTGGCACAACACAGCCTGTGTCTGCCTCCATGACTCTCACACACTTCCACAATATGAATTGCAGTATTATTAGTAACTCAGCAGACACGCAGACACATGCGTTCAGATCAGTATACAAATCATACATGGTAAACAACACTGAGATATAATCAGTCATTTAAACACACACAGACATTTGTGCACTTACCATGTTAGCGAAGTCATTTTAGCTTTGGTCACGATCAGGTTGGAGGAGTATATCGACTCAAGGACATCTCCGAGCTTGGTGACAACATCTGGCTTTATCAAAGCAAGAGTTCTGGAAAATGGAGAGAAACAAAAAAAAATGTATCAAGCCAGAGATTTAAGCCAGTAAAAGGCAACGTTTTACGCTTACCAATATGAATGCTTTTTAAAGAGGACATATTCTGCTCATTTTCAGGTGTATATCAGTATGTAGTGTCTCTACTTTAAAGAGTCCTCTCCTGCTGATGTTCAGGTGTATATCAGTATGTAGTGTCTCTACTTTAAAGAGTCCTCTCCTGCTGATGTTCAGGTGTATATCAGTATGTAGTGTCTCTACTTTAAAGAGTCCTCTCCTGCTGATGTTCAGGTGTATATCAGTATGTAGTGTCTCTACTTTAAAGAGTCCTCTCCTGCTGATGTTCAGGTGTATACCAGTANCCCCCACGCTAAGCTAAAAGGTGGCTAAATGTTGGGCTATAAAAAGGAACTACAGCACAGGTCACAATGATTCAACGTCACCCCACGCTAAGCTAAAGGTGGCTAATGTTGGGCTATAAAGGAACTACAGCAATGGTCCACAGCTGACTTCATCGTCACCACGCTAAGTCTAAAGGCAGCTAACGTCTAAGCGTGATGACATTTAGTCGTCTCATTTAGACACTTGTTAGCAACCAGTCCTCATTTAAAAACATGTTCAACATTTGAACCATTGATATCCACACTAGAGAACAGCAAGTGGATTTCCTTCAAATATATAAATTATTATATTACAAAAGATACCATTGTATTCAAACAAAATGGCCTCCTTCCTCCCTTTTTTCCACAAACCTCTCATCTTGTTATTCTTTCTATCTCAATATCCCTCGTTCCCTGCCAGGTTTAGTGGGTCTCACACTCCTATTGTCATGCAGTGTGGGGCTTTGTTAATGTTGGGATGCAGCCCTAATAGTGTTTGCATGGAGCCTCTTCCAGCTGGATTAATCTGTGTGTTATTGGAGACCCTGAATTGCAATGGCTGCCAGTGCATGGCGAATAAAGAAAAGCAGAGATTTTCTTTTTTCATGCGCTTGCTGGGCATCAGCCATGTATCAGTGGGAGGTTTGGATCATGTGGGCTTCATCCAAGTCAGTCCCCCTTTAATTCCCCTAATTTCTTTCATTTCACGTTGTTGTTTTGGATGTGTGGTTTTGCTTTCAAGTTGCTGTTGAGTTCCCCTCCCTTTGAGACATGTGGGGAATTGCTGAGGTTTATTTTTAGCTACAACATCTGCATTTAATTTCCCTTCTTGGTACAGTTTCTCATTTTCTAAATATATGTATTGGCTCCCTGCTCTAAATTTGGATGCAAATTGCGAAAGCAGGTTTCAATCAGTTTGAATTTTTTTTCTTTTTTCACGGCCGCCACACACACACACACACACACACACACACACACACACACACACACACACACACACACACACACACAGATAAACCAAAGGGAAAACATTTAAAAGTGAAGGATGTTATTGTAAGTAGCTTTGGATACAAGTGCACCTAAATGAAATGTAAGGTATCTCTCAAATTAGATTATTTTCGTATAGATTAAATACATTTTATTAAACACAAATTGGGAAATTGTTATTTTACAACAAGGCATTGCACATGAGTTAAAAATAAATTAAAATGTAAATATATATATATAAACAGTAGACAGATAGAGGATGTATTGCATATATAGTAATATTGTTTTAGATTGGTTTAAATATACTTTATTGATCCCCAATCAGGAAAGAGTTGGAGGTAAAGCATGGAGGTAAAGTTTGTGTGCAATGTGTACAATTTATTTATAAAAATTTGATTTACATTGTAATGTGGGAAATACTCTCACGTCCTTAAAATAATTGTTGTTTTAATGGAAATGTTTAAAATAAGACAAAACATCTCTGGCGGAAAAATTATCTTTTGATTCTCTCCTTTCTAAAATGCCTCGATAACATTGGGCTTGTGTAATTCCTGCAGCGTGTCACAGCAGGTGAGAGGCTGCCCAGCTGTGGAGAGATAATTCATAATTCATCATAATTTTCGAGCAAAAAAGTGTCAAAACAAACAGCCTCCTAACACGGACACAGACAATCCAAATCCCCCAAACTAAGGCTGACGTTGGAGTAAATTAAACAGATATTAACATTCACAGTTTTTATAACATCCATTCATCTACTCATCCATTCATAACCAGCTTCTGTCTTGACGTGTGTTTGCATGACCGGTGATGTAATCTGAAGAAATGCACGCTCCTTTCCACCTGCATTCTCAACACAATTCATTTTATTTACAAATAGTTGAAAACACAAATCTTATCATAAGACAATAAGGTGATATGTGAAGTGTAGTAGTGGTATTAAATGATCATCCTACACCTATAATAGTTTATACAAATCTTTTAGGAGATGACTTGTTTTCCCTGCAGTGTCTTCAGCAGCATCTATTCTGCACTAATTACGACAGCAAATATGCTTTGAAGGAATCCTAAATGCTGCCTGATTGCAGTCCGACCAGCTAATGAGGAAACCTTTCTAATGGGTCTTTCTGCAGAGTTGCTAAATGCAAACAAGAACATAAAAAACGCAGCTAATTAAGCTTCATAAAGCTGTTATTTAGTCAGTGATAAACAGGTGAGTATTCCCTGCTCCTATTCTTCAAAACAATCTGAATAAACTCAAGTTTCTTAAGGATTTTTGTTTGCATGATGCTGCTTCTTTCACACAGCAAGTCAGTGCTAAAGCTATGGGGAGTATCACTGGTTGGATATTGAAATGCTCACATAATGTATCCATCAGTAAAACATAGCAGCCTTTGGCAAACACTTCCAGAGACACAGATAACATAACATTTATCTAGAGGGCATACTGTGTTTATAATCTCTCCATTAATAACGCTTTTGGAATAGTGGCAAGTTAGCGTGTTTGTGCATTACCATTACACCACTGGCCTTTACAAATGCACGTCAATAGAGTACTGCAGGGATTATTGTAGAGTAAGTTAGCATCTCCCTGGTGCCCTTGACAAAAAAAAAGAAATACAATACAATAACGAAGGATATACGATACAATGCTTCTGATACAATACGTTACAATACATTACATTAAGATACACTATGATCAGGGGTGCACATAAGTGGTACGCAGGTACGCATGCGCGGCAACAATCTGAAAGGCGTACCGTCACTTGTGTCACAAAGCGCATTTGCGTACCGACGTCCTTGTGAAGCTTTTCCAGAAGGCAGTTAGATCACCGGACGACAGAGTGAGGGGCTGCTGTTAACGTCGGTCAGCCCTGCGCTAACACAGCTGATCACAACGTTCACACGCTCTGTGATCACGAAGCTCTGCACTCAACTACCACCCCCCCTCCCCCCCCCCGCTGACATTCGCGATACGGAGGGCTTCATGGGAACTTTGAGGGGAGCCAGAAGTTGGAGTACCAAACACTGACTCCAGGTACTCATCTGAGTACCTCACTGAGAAAGTTGTGTGCACCCCTGACTATGATACACTACAATACAATACTTTCTGATACAATATGTGACAATAAGATACAATACCTTATGATAATACTTTACGATACGATACGATGCAATAAGGTACGCTA